AATAATATAAAAATATAGGCCTAGTAGCCTTTCTTTATTTTATAGGTCTTTTATAATGCGCTTTCTATTTATAAAAAGATATTTAGTTAATAAAGTGTTTTTTTTAAAGTTAAAAATAAAGCTTATTTATTACATCTTTTTTTTAGCTACACTGTGCACAAAACTTAACACCCTAAACACACACACTCTACACTATAGGCAACCCCTTTAGGGAACCCCCTTATATAAAATAAGAGGATGCGCTAGAGCAGCTATAAAAATAATAATAATAATTACCTATAAGCACTACTCTGTCTACTCTAGCGTATAGCGCTTTAGGAAACTAGTTTAAATAAGTAAAGCTATTACTAATACTTTACACTTAAACTATAGTAAAAATAAGCATAGTTAGTTTAGTATTTTAAAAAAAACTACTTACACTTTTATTAATATATCTCTAAGCTTTATGTAGTTAGAGTTAATAATATGTTTTAATAATGCTTTTAACTATTTAACTATAGCTTATTTATATTATAATAAATACACACACTACTTATATTAGCTGCTTTATTATCTAATAGGCGCTTTTAACACTTATATGTTAATCTGCTTAAAGACACTACACTAGCTACTAAATTAGTATATAATGTATTTATATTATATAATAAGCTTTAATAAACTATAGTAATTAAAGTATAAAAAGTTCTTAACTATCTTAGTGTATATAGCATAGAGGACTAGCGCATAGCCTATTTACCTTTATAACCTAGCTTAGAAGTGTATAAGCTAACAGTAATTTTATTTAATATAATAAAAAGTAATAAGACTATTCTAGGCAGTAATAAGTAGTAACTACTACTAGTTAGCATATGTAAGACCTAGGCTAGCATAAGGCTCTCTATAATTACAGCTGCGCGTTGCCTGTCTCTTAGCAACATATATAACTCTACACCTAGTAAGTATAGTACGCTAAACGCAGCAAAGGCTGCTGTAAATAAACTATTTAAACTAAAAAAGTGTACTATAACTATAAAAAAACTACCTTAATAACTAAAAATATTACTAAGTAAGAGATTATTTTATAAAAAAAAGTTATTATTAAATAGTAACTTTAGTACTATAGTTAACACTATAAACTTAAACAACACATTAATTATAACTAGTTTAAGGGGTAGACTATATTACTCTAACTAGTTTTATTACTAGTAATATTTATATTACATAGCCTACACAGCTAAACTGTTATTTTGCATATAACTACCTAATAAGGCTTTAGTAGTATTATGTATACCTAGTAACTTAGAGACATTACTTATTTTAAAAAGTGTGTTATTTTTATAAAACTTACTTTATACTATAAGTATAATATGCTTAAACTTACTTTTAATAAATGCTAAATGCAACTCTATAAACTTCTAGTCTAATAGCAGACAATTTTATACACTACTAGTGCTATACCTACTAGACTTAATAAGCACTGTAACTTTATTACTTTTAATATTCTTTTATTTAGTAATAAGCTTTGCTAGCTTTTATTAGTTTAAGTATAAAAAAAATACTAAAGATAAAAGTAAAACTAAAATATTATTTTTAGACACACTATAAACCTTTAAAAAGTACTAAAAAGTAAATGCTTAATATATCTTCTAAATATACTATAACATAAAGCTAGCCTTACTCTTTAGTGTTAGCGCAGTTTTTTTAGTAAGCAAAGGTAAAGCGCTTTAATATAGCATAAGTGCTAGATTATAACTTATGTAATAAGCAACCTTTTCTAAAAAAAGTTGCTGTGTTAATTATATAAATAAGTTATTTTAAAAATACTAAAGTAAGTGCTTATAATAACACTTAAAGTTAATTAAGTTTTACTACTTAAGCTTAATGCTAGCTTATTAGTTTAGCTATTTATTTATCTAATTAAGAAGTCTACTTTTACATTTATTATACTAAAATATAACTATATAATTTTATAAATTAGCTAAAGTGCTTTTAACCCTCTTTTCTATAGCCTTTAATTTAGGTTTATTATATAGGGGTGTAGACCTAGGCAGAGGTGTTACAGCAGGAGTAACAAGCGTCTAACTACTACTAGTAGATGCTTAATTTAGTAACATTATAGCTATTATCTACCTTAATATAAAAGGCTTTATTTTATAATAATTTTTTACTTTTATAAGTTACTTTTTTTTTATTTTTTACTTTACCTAGCTACTAGCCTGTCTATTACTTATATCTAAATTAGTGCTAAAACAGTTAAACATATAAAAATAAATAAATAATATAGTAACTATAGTTTTACTATAACTACGCACGCTATAACTAAACTGCTACATTAAATTACTTATATTTTAAGTAATTAAAATGTTTTATTAGTATACCTACTTAATTCTAGAGATATCTATACCTATTCTAAGCGCAGTTGTACAGATAATAATCTAGATAAAAGCATTAGCACCTTTAAAATTTTAATATATCTTCTACTAGTCTGCGTCTATAACCTAACTAGTATATGCCTAGACTACCTTCTTAGCATCTACTATAAAGTAGTGTCTATCTAACATAAGACAAAATTAAAGAAGCTTTATAAAGTTAGTAATATAAATATAACTATTAATAAACATACATGTCTTTAAAATAAGCTTTAGGTTGCTAAAAAAACTAGTAGTACTAAACTTATAATTAATAATATATAAAAGCTAAGCATATATGCTTTTACTATAATTATTAATTAAAATAATAGTGTATGTAATTTTAAAGTAATTTACGCATGTCCTAATTACCTTTAGGCTGCTTATTAGATTATTACCTATCTCTAGACTCTCTAGCCTAAAGCTACTAAAATAGTGTACTACCTTTTCTATCTACTTATTAAACATAGTAGTATAAGTAAAAAACATTATATTAAAAAATAAACACTGCTAAAGCTTATAAAACTATAAATACTTTTTTTAAAAAATTTTTTGCTATTATATAATATAGCACTTATCTAATGCTACTAACCTAACTTAAGCATAAAATATAGTGTTAGTAAATAGCTATTAGAACACTAGTAATATAGCCTACTCTAAACTTAGTAAAATATAAGTGTATAAAAGCTACTAAATCTTTTAAAATATTTTTAAGTTAATATTTTTTATTTATTTAGTAACTAGATATAAATATGCTTTAAAATACTAGTAAATTACTTTAAACTACTTATTTTTTAGCTTTAATAGTAGTATAATCTAAAGCATAATATTACCTATAAATATAAAATATATATGTAAAATAATGCTTTTTCTAAAGCTAGTGTAGGCTATAAAGATTATATCTCTAAGGCTATATATAAGCTAATAAATAGTGTGCACCTACTGCTTATATAGCTCTCTACTGCTTAATAACTTCTATATAGCCTAAGTAAGTAATAGTGTTTAATACTAAATATTATACTTTATAAAACACTTATATACTAAATTCTATAAAGCATTAGCACTTAGAGTATAATAAGCTTTAATATAAAAAAGCATTATACTAGCTAGTTTATATACTTAATTTAGCGCTACATAGTTTTTATTTAGCACTAAATAAGTAGTCTTTTCTAAGCAGATAGCTAGAAGACTTAGCATAAGCTATACTTATGCTAGCCTTCTACCTAAACCTTAATTCCCTGCGCGCTAACCTAGCCCTCTAGTCTGCATAGTAGCTACTACAGTAAATAATTAGTAGTACACATTAAAAAGTGCGTAAATAAATATATAAATAATATATAAAAAGATACTTATAATATTTAGTGTCTAAACTACTTACTATGTAAGTGTTAGTACTATTTTGCCTACTGTAATAAAACTATATATATAGAATAAAATTAGCAAATCTAGAAGCTAGAAGTAGTTTATAATAGTAAAGATAAATAGCACTTAAAATATAAGTGCCTTACAATACATAAGTGTAGATAATAAGAAGAAAAAGAAGTTTAAAGTAACACATAAAATTAGTTATAAAAAAAGTTATATTATATATATAAATAAATTTAAATTACTCTAGACATTATTAGATTTTATTTAAAATATGCTTATAATATTTTTACTAGAGTTTTATATGTTGTATTAACTTTTAAAGTTTATGTATAATATACTTATTATACTATCTAAAATTGCGTCTTTATTCTTAAGTAGTTAAAATTAGTTATGTATATAAAAAATTACTAAAGTCTTTTAAATAGCTAATAAAAGAAAATGTTAGTTATAAGGGTTTAAAACTACTAACCCTAGGTTATACTCTGTTAGGAGTAGCAGTATGCATGGTGGTATGTGCGTTGTCGGTTCTCTCATCAGCCGGCTGAGCTAGCTGAGATAAGTGGCGAAGGTGGATGTGTGGGTCCTTCACCTCCCACCCTTTCCTGTTTAGGACTAGCGCTCTTTTCGCTACTATATATTTATCTCTGAGCTCTCTCGAGCTCTAGAGACCTTACACCTCACCTCAATATACCTAGGTCATCTCTCAATACCTAATTGTCTGCTCACCTCTCTATATATGCCCTTCATCAGCTCCATCTAGGCTCCCTGCGATAGCGAAGGCACGTTAAATCCAGATATCAAGGTAGTGACAGCCTTCATAAACTCCGTTTTCGAAATAGGATTTACGGGCAGTAGAGATATGATCCAACGGGAAGGATATATGGGCGGACCTAGGGATGGTAACCCGATGGTGGGGGTGAAGCGGTCAGAATAAAAGGTTTGACAAGAAGCCGAATGGATAGCTGTGATCGTGCTGTGATCGTGCTATGATCGCTGGCGTGAGAGAACAAAATTATTTATTATGTGTGAAGGTAGCCTTCGTGCGCCGCTCGGGTGCCGTGCTCTAATTTAAACATGGCTGGACGAATGAGACTGCTTGTTAATGAAGCCTTTCGCTAGTTTAGCTACCGAGTCGGTCGCCCGTCGAAGCTTGGCGGCGTACATAAGCTTGCGGACACCTCACTGCTTCTCCTTGAAAACCTAATCTCGTCTTTATTTTCTCCTCCTTAAATTGTGTCGGTCGACATGAGTTTCATTTCCCGGCAAAAGCCACCTGTCTTGTTTGCGCTTCGCTCCTCGAATGCGTTCACACTAACTGCGATTTGTCTAGCTGCTTTTACGGTATGCATCCCTCGAACGAACCAAGTTGGGGCTGACCATTCTCCTAGGATGGATTCTTGTATGCAGTCGTGGTTCCAGTGCTGCCCTTCTCGTTGGAAAATCAATCAGGGATTCCAGAGAGAGACAGTGAGATGCCTGCAAATAATAGTTGCGATGCCTTAATCGAATTCTTGTAGTCCAGAAGTGGTCGTCATACCTATTAACGGCATTCGGCGGTGCTGTGCTGTTAACTTCTCGCAAGTCGAAATAACCTCCTTCCACTGGAATGTAGCTAATAGTTGTCAGCTTTAGCGGGATGGATTGCCAATCGGGGATCGTCACGTCGCATGCCGTTCTTACTTGGACTTCTCCTTCAAGCATTTTCAACGTCCCTTTTCCTGGTCAGCCCGAGGGTAGAGATACTTTTAGTCGCAAGGGCGTTACAAGGGCTTTCCTCTGCAGTGGTGTATTCCGTTGGATTGGCATTACTGGTTGATATTGTGGGAATGGATGAGATTGGACGGAACGCAGGCTACTTCCTCTCTAGTGCAAACATGGGTGTTATGGTTTCACCTTTGGCCGGAGGCATTTTATATGCAAGAGCAGGGTATTGTGCAGTGGCTATCATGATGGTGTCGCTAGTGGTGGTCGACATTCTGCTGCGGCTCGTCATGATAGAGAAATCAGTGGCAGCGAAATGGGAGCAAGACGAGGACGAAGAATCGGATTTACACCGTGCGATATTAGCCGGTTCCCAGATTTATGGGCTGATTGACGATCAACGGCATCAGGTGAAGACTAATACTCCTACGATGCTTCGAATCTTGATGTCGCTGAGAGCCCTGGCGGACCTTTATGCGGTCTTCGTGTCCTACACACTTCTTGCAGCTTTCGATGCAGGCCTTGGAGTCTTTGTGAAAGAACGGTTTCATTGGGGATCGTCTGCGGCAGGGGCGATTTTCCTTGCAATTGCTCTCCCATCGCTCCTCTCTCCAGTTGGGGGTTCACTATCAGACAAGTACGGGCCCAAATGGATTGCAGTCATGGGTTTCGGTGTTGCTGCAACGGCGCTGTTCACTATCGGGTTCATCGAGAAGCCCAGCTTTTGGGGGCTCTCAAGTCTATATGCTCTCCTTATGTTGATCGGTACGTGCTAATATCTATGTTGAATTGGATATTGCTGATACGCGATCATATAAGGGTCTAGCATTGCATTCATCTTGCCATGCGTCGCCGATGACCTAACACAAATTGCACAGACGCTGAGCAGCCCGTTTTCTGGCTACCCGAGTGGAAGAGGCATGTATGCTCAGTCATTCGCGCTTTTTAACTGTGGAATAGCTGGGGGGAGAGTTATAGGACCGCTGTGGGTGAGTGCCGCTTCACGATTCGGCTGGCAGGTAGTCACGGCTCTGATGGGTGGATTGGCTTTGTCGGCATGCGTCTCAATCGCCATGTTTCACAAAGACGCAAGTGAGGCCGAGCAGGAGACGGACACGATCGCAGAATAGGTCTGTTAAAGGGCGTCCCGACGGTGATGGAGACCTTGGATAATGAAGATGGAATGAAAGTTATCTCAGCAAGCTCAGACAGGATGGGGAGAGAGCCTCGACAGGGGCAAGCCCCTGCTAGTAGCCTTAGTGGCGCAAGCCCCATCTCTCTAGCTAATAAGGGTGTAAAAAAGGCTTTCTCTCCTTAGCTATCTAAGGGACTTTTATAATTTTTTAGGTAATATTATAGTTCTAAACCTCCTCTACTATGCACTAGCTTAACTAAGAATTACTATAGCTTTACTACTTTTTATCTAAACTAGGTTAGATTTTAATAAGTAATAAAGACAGTCTCTAGCTATATTCTAACATTTTTATAACCTAATTCTAATAAGATTTAGTAGAGTATTGCGCTATTAAGTCCTACATAAGACATTTTAATAACTCTATAACTACACCTTATTGTAACTTTCTAACTATATAATATATTATCTTTAGAATTTAAGACCTATCTAAGACAGGCTCTATTAGGGAGCCTACAAAATTTTAGGATATCTAGGCTGCTAGTTATTAAGCTAGATAGTAGGCTAGGGACATTGTAATTACTTTTATGTCTACAGCTTAACTAGCTGTTGTCTAAGGACTTTAAGAATCTTAGAGCTGTCTTAGACTAGCTCTATTAGGGATTCTGTAAAATTCTAAGAAATTTAGTCTACTAGTTGTTAAGTTCTAGTTAGAAGGGCAATACTATTAATCTAAAATTAGGGTATAGATAGGTTACAGTTTTACGCGCGTTTAGATTTTTCTCTACTAATAATAGTTAAAATTTAGTAAAAAAATATACTATTTTATAGCTACAGCTTATCTCTACATTCTATTAAATTCTAAGCCTATTTAGATATATAGTAGTAGAGATATTATAAATTTAATTCTATTATAACTTTAATGCTTTTAAAATAGGCCTATTTATAGAAAAAATTATAAAAGTCCCTTAGACAGCTAAGAAGAGAAACGCTACTAACAGGGGTCAGAAACTGCTAACCCCTAGGCCATACTCTATTTGGAGTAGCAATATGCATGGTTTGTGCGTCCTCAGTTCTCTCCTCACGTCTGAGCTAGCTGAGATAAAATGAAAGAGAATTGGACACACACGCTAAGTTCAAATAGGCTTAGAGGAATGACGAAAAAGAAATACTTTGTAAATGAATGAACGCCATCAGAGGTGAAAACTTAGACCGCCTATTGCTTCAGACCTCTCCTTATTATCTTCCCTTAAGTATTCTCTGATGTTGTATTAAATGGTGTACATCAGGTGTTCTGCAGAGTAGCCTTAGTCAGCGCTAGTAACCCACACAAGCCTGGAACGGCGGAGTCCTTCTCCGACACCCCGCTCCGACAACTCAGCAATTTCCCAAATATCTCGGAAACCATGAAGATTACGATTGAATAAGATGGAGAAGATGAAGACTCGGAAGCCGCATACCAAATCCCGCAAAGGCTGCGTCTCTTGCAAGTCTCGACATGTGAAGGTAAGAGCTTCCGACATGTATGTTGGCACTCGCCATTAAGACGCAAGGGATTAGTGAGTGCTAGAACTGGTACTCTAGCACCTATCAAAGATGATAGATGCTCTCTATTGCTGCCACAGAGTGCCTTAAAGACAACACAGAATGACCTGCCATTCGACTCACCTTCTTCCAACCCGAAGAATGACTTTCCGTCTGAACTCAAGCCCTTGGCAATATCACTACGCTTCTACACTCTCAGAGATGAATATTAAGAGGCTAATTAGATGATAGTGTGATGAGACGAAGCCGGCCTGTGTAAATTGCGACAAGTACGGTTCGAAGTGCGAATATCCTGCGGCTCAGGCGCGGATCGTGAATGACAACACGTCTCCCTACGCCCGTGTGTCGACGCCTTCATCTGCAGATGGACTAAATCTTAACCGCAGCTCCCCAACTCTAGGCGGACAAACTCAAGACTACGCCCTTAACATACCCCAACTTCGCCTCCTTCACCACTTCTCTACAGTTACTGCGTCAACCTTAACTTCCAATATCGAAGCCCAAGATGTATGTCGCTCGCATATCGTTAAAATCGCGTTTAACCACCCATTCCTACTCCATGTCATTCTTGCTTTGGCCGCGCTCCATCTTAGCTGGCTCAATCAAGCTCTTTCCCAGGTATATCTAGTTCAGGCCGAAAAACATCATGATGCAGCACTTGCGGAGTTCCGATCTGACGTCCAGGACATAGACGAGTCCAATTTTCAGGCAGTGTTCTGCTTTGCATTCATCTTATTTCCATATTCTTGTGCGGTCCTAATTGATCCCAAAAACGGTCCAGAATACGTTCTAGACACCGTGCTTCAAAACCTCGCCTTAACACGGAGAGTTCCGCCAATGGTCAGGCAGTTCTATTCCAGTATGCTTGACTCAGAGCTGGGACGGCTAGTCCCGAGCGATACCCAAGGCATCGATTTTTATCAAGTCCCCTCGGATCGTGTCCTCGTCAGTTTGTGGAAGTTCTCCGAGCTCACCTCGAAACTATATCCTCCGGATATAAATGAAGCGTACGAGCTCGCGATTAGCACCTTAGAAGTGCTCTTCTCCGTCGTCAAGCGCCAATCTGAACGCCCTTCGGTCTCCCTGGTGAAGTTGTGGACCCATCAGGTTACGCCAAGATTCATGGAGTTGCTGTCGGCGAGACAACCGGGTGCTCTGATCATATTTGCGCATTACGCAGTCCTCCTGAAAACATGTCAACATTATTGGTTTATGGACGGCTATGCGGGGCAGATACTACAGGTTGCTGATGCTCTCATCCCTGAGGAGTGGAGGTCGTGGCTCGACTGGCCCAAGGAACAAATTAGAGGAAGCGCCTGAATAGGTCCCAAATAAGACATGCTTGCGAACTAAACTGGATTCTAAACACTGGTAAGTATCAGCTAGCTTCCGTCCGGCGGTTTATTAACGGGGGATAGCTGTCGGAAGGGAATATTCAAGAAACTGATAGGAACGCGCCGTTGTTCCCTATCGCGCGTGTCATTTTGAAGCGTCCACGCAATGGCAGCGAGTAGTTTTGTGACTCGCAATGACTTTGAGGAAAACAACACCAAAGCCAGAAGCGCCGAATTTCGAGGGGAGGGAACTCCCCTCCAGTGGGGCCGACCTACTCCGCCCACGTTCATTGGTCAGCGTACTCGGTTAACTTCAATACGACTAGTCTTTCCATAATTAGCATAGAGCCTTGCCACGAAAGGCTACCGGCGTCGCATTCGGAATTGTTGAAGGATGAGAAAGAGAATACGAATCTTTACGAGCCACAAACACTTCAACAACAACAAGGGATAACTATACTAAAAGATTTCGAATATAAAGTATTGTCTCCTACCCTCTCTTTAATGTATTCCTAACCTTTCCCCACCTTTTCAACTTTCCTGACCTTCGCAAAAATTCCTCGAAGGCAAATACAACTACATTTATTACAGCAAACTATGGCAGTTTCCAAGCCAGTTGAGTTTAAGCTATGGAATTACACGCCATCAGTCGCTGGCGGCGTGATCGGTGCACTGGTTTTCACAGTCCTTACTGGGCTCCATTCCTTTCAACTTTTAAGAAATCGCACATGGTTCTGCACCCCATTCGTTATAGGGGGACTCGTTAGTGATTTTATCGCCATCCATCGCTCTATCTTCGCTAATAATATGTGCAGTTCGAAACCATAGGCTATGCTGCCCGTGCCGCCGCCCACAGCAACACAGAGTCCGTCACTCCCTACGTCATACAATCTCTCCTCATCCTCCTTGCCCCAATCCTCTTCGCCTCATCTATATACATGATCCTCGGTCGACTCATATTCCGCACCAAGTCTACTTCACACTCCCTCATTCGTCCACAATGGGTGACTCGTATCTTTGTGGGAGGTGACGTGCTTTGTTTCCTGATGCAATCCAGCGGGGGTGGCATTTTGGCGAAGGCAAAGAATCAGGATGACGTGGACTTAGGACAGCATATTATTCTCGGTGGTCTCATTCTTCAGATCTTCATCTTCGGCTTCTTCATTGGGGTAGCGGGTAACTGGCATCAGAGAATGAATGCGCACGAGACTGTGGAAGCACGAGAGATTCCATGGAGAAAGTACACTGCACTTCTTTACGCAGCCAGTGTCTGTATCACGACCAGGAATATTTGCCGTGTTGTGGAGTACGGCTTAGGCAGAGTAAGTTCTCCTCGATTCTCTCCGCAACTACGCCAAAGGTTGCTCACAACGCTCGTTAGGATGGCTATCTTCTTAGTCATGAGTGGACTCTCTACGTTTACGACTTCGTCCTCATGGTAATCACTCTGCTTGTCTGCCTCCACTGGTATGATCCGAACATCAAAGTGGATGGCAATAAATCGGACGTTGAAATAGGGCAGTGGCGCTAGGATCGGAAGTTCGGAACACTCCGAAAGAAGGTCATACATCCCTGGGCAAACCTCATGGCTTTTTTGAGCGTTTGATTGAGCGAATGGGCAGTGCAAATCTAAGTCGAGCGACTCGTGTATTTGATTGTAGGTTCAAGTGGAGGCTCTAAGGGCTCGGTTTCTTGCCTCAACCTTGAGAACGCAGTATTAGATAAATATTCTTAAATCGATATCATAAGGAGGAAGGAACCAACACGCCATCGTAGCCTTTAAGGATCCTTGCACAACTGCAGCTTCACCCTGGGAGACCACCCGAAACTCACGTCGTCTCTCCGGCAGTAGGCACACCTAGCCTACGTGTACACGAATTCCTCATCAAGCAAGCAATCTACCCATGGCTCCGAACCACCAGCCTCGACATGGATCCTAGTAAGCGCTCTCGTACTCACCAAGATGCAAGCCATGATCTTGGAACTAACGTGCATGAAATTACCTGCATTTCGCATGCATTAGTCTGGACCCCATTCTCGTTAGCGTGGGAGTAATTATCGCCCAGACCCAAGACCCACCTTTCAATCGAACATCTGCTTGGCGACTTTCATATCCAAGCTTTCAAGTCGCTTCATGCGAAGATTCGTGGAACATCTTTCCCTCATGGGTGCACGATGTGCAGGCCTAGTTTTCGGGGACAGTGTGGGCATTTAATGATTGAAGGGAGATTACACCACGATTTCGCGCACAATCCAAGCTAACGGGCCGTGCCGTGCATATGCATGCCATCGAGGACAAGGGTCCCTCAAATTGAGTTTGCGATCTTTGATTTGAGGGCACTCACGTTGCTCACATTGTGTGGACCGGAAAGCAAGTACACCAAATTTTATTTTGTCAGCCATTAACTAAGCTTCAGCGTTGTGAAAATTCAAAGATGTAAAGAGCGTGATTTAACATCCAAACGACCTCAATGGCAAAATCCAGTGCAGCATCGCCAATTCCATCCAGCCCATCCATCACTCGCCTAATGCACGCCATTCCCTCAATAAAGTTCTTGGGGTCCGCCGTACTACATGAGTAACCCTAGGTATTTAGGCTGGGGCCTTGCAACAAGTCCAGCAAGGATAGTCCTCAGTTCCCATGTTGTTGCTATACTGTGTGGTGTTAGTATGGCACCAAACGAACCAGTCGTGGTATCTTACCCATCCGTCAGGACAAGTTGGTGTGTCATCCCAACAAACACGAAGACAGATGTCGGTGGCCTTCGAGGTGCTGTGGTGCTCAGGGAAGGTATCGGACTCGAGCATAATGACCATTCGCTCGTTCGGCGTTGGCTTGCTGAGAACAAAAGAAGCGGCAGCGAGGAGGAGAGTAGTGAGAGTGAAACGCATTTTGTAAGTTGAGTGGGGAAATCTTGAGAGTTGAAAGTTTGCTGGGTGATGGTGATGGCTAGGTCAGGAGAAGAAAATCTGGCGCCTTATATATTCAACGTACCCGGCTCCAACTTCTGTTTAAACCTCTTAGCTTGTTATGCCCTCCTGCAGCCATGTATCGAAATATGCAGAAAGGTCGGTGGAACGGATTCTTCAGAGAACCGGAAAGCCTCAAAAGAGGGGAACCTGCAATGGCATACCGGGAAGGGCCTAGCCATAGGGAGAGTCTATTCAGTGCATACGGGTTACTCAGACAATGTGTACGTCGAAGCGGTGTGTTGTTAAGTATAATCGGAAGAGAATTTCCCACCCTCCCTGAGAATAGGGTGGGGTTTGTCCGACAAACCAAGATGGTACGCTTTTCCAGGCCTTAGTGTGTTCCTTGTGCCTGGGAAGTATTTCAGTCGCTGCTATGTGATAGAAATTCTTCCGTCATTTTTCACACTGAGATCATGGCTACATAAAGCATTTTTTAGTTTCTAGAATTCAGCGAATAAATCTTCAAGCACTGTCCTTACACTTGCCTTCGTATTTTTATCTGATTACATGTTGCTGAAGCATCCATATCTTATATGCTTGTAGCGCTGGCATTGGCCCTACGGAGACTCAAACAGATCTCAATATTCTTCGACGAGCGACCACTTTTAAGTGTTAGATTCGTTTCTCCGCGGATCTTTGAGAGCCATTCCTGCCGCACGCGACGTTGTTTCACGCACCATGGGTCAAGGTGAATGTCGGTCCATGGCCCACACTGGTTTCCTATTGAGGACTAACGCTCTTTTATGCACTATATAGTCACATTAGAGCCCTCTTTCTAGCCCCTTAGACTCAATCGACCCAGTTTGGCTTTGAACACCTAACTGGCTCCTCGCACCTCTATCTCCCCTCCATCATCCGTCAACTCCAAAAAATATGATAATTCCAGAAGTCGTGTCTACTTTACAACACAAACTAGAAGGGCAATTTCCCTCGATACATCATTTCACAAAAGATCCTAGCAGGGCAACACCGGGCTAGGGTACATATATAAAGATCGTGATTCAATTTCTTGATGGCCTCGATGGCGAAGTCCTAAGCTGCATCCCCATGGATCAGAAGCCTGACTAAACTCCCAATCCTCCGCGTCACTTTCTACCTTGCCAACATCCTGCTAACAAAGCCTCTTGCTCACAGCACGCTCCGGACACTTCAGGATCCACTCCGGCAGCAAGTGTAGCAATCACCAAATTGTTTGGAGTACTGCGGTGAATTAGAATTATATGGAGGGAATTGTTTCAAGGCCTCTTACCATTCCCGCTGGACAATCTACGGGTTCGAAGAAACATGCCTTCAAGCAGGTCTCAGTGATCATTGGTGCGAGTTTGTGACCAGTTTCGGGTTCAGTAAGAATCACAACACCTATCTTGGACGTTGGCTTGCTAAGAACAACGGAAGTAGCAGCTAAGAGAAGGGTAGGGATAGTGAAACGCATGTTGGAAGTTAGGGAGTAAGACAAAGCGTGTTTGAGTAGATTGGAGGAAGTGGATGATTATGGAGGTAGTAGAAATCTATGGCCTTAAATATTTGAGTTTTCGGGCTTCAGTCGTGTCATCCGACTTAAACGGTGGGGTGTGACCTCCCCACCTTATTCGGATAATATGCAGACTTCCCAGTTAGCGAAGGTTGTTGAGCGGGCGATAACAGACTCATACGATAGCTGCATGGCAGAAAGAATCTACCCGATGCAATTGAGCACATACCAGGGAGAGATGAGTGCATAAATGAGGGGTAGGAGCCGGTTAACCGAGTAAGACTGTAATAGTGTTGACACTTGGAACATTTATACGCTCCACTCGACAAATCTGGACATCCACTAAGGGTTCCAGCTTGCTCTCTTGAGCCATTGCGCAGGGTGGAAGTTCGGCAGAACTATGCTCACGATAAGGGAATACGCCTGAAATTGTGTTCCGCTCAAAACAGTAACTTATGCGCTTGCTTTGAGCAAGTGGTGACTGCCAATCGTGAGGAACTAGTGGTTGAATACTGTGAACGTTGGATATACGTCGGGCAACCGAAATCCGGTTGCGACGTAGACATATGCTGGTATTTGGATCCCGTAATACCGACCCTTTATGCCTAGTACTGATCATCCAAGTCCTCGCGAAGATAGAGTAGAGTGCAAGACGCGAGAATCTGGTAGACTGGTGATTGATTTAGCGTTATTCCATGTGGATGGTAAGCCGGAACACCTGAGACTTCTAATTGGGGGATGCTCACAACCGTGAACCTCCCCAATGCAAGAACCTTTCGGTTTTTAATATCGTGCATCGGTAGCCTCTGGCAGAAAACTTTTTTATGTGCCGAAACAATACATGATTCGGGTTGCGGTTTTCGTCAGTAAAGTTTCGGCTCTGATGCATGCCTCAGCTAACAAGATCAAAATGCGCACTGCCTGCAGCGAAGTGGGGAATTAAATGATGGGCTCCACAGGAATGAGTGGACTGGGTGAACTTTCTTCTGATCCGCGCGAAATCGATAAAGCACCGTAATGTACAACATTAGTCCGCCTGTTGTTTGAGTGACACGACATTTCGCTCAGTCAAATTTGCTTTCTCGGCCTTTCCCAATTTAGGGGGATCTTATCGAAGTCCCACAGGGTACAATGCCTCATAGGGTGTTGTTATCGGTTCTCTTCGCCGCCTCGGAAAGCGAATGGCACCCTGGTCCAACACTGGTGGCCAGGAAAGGGCCTGGGCCACAAGAGCGCCACAAGATCTAGACCAAAATGAAGAGTAAATCAATATGTTTAGACATTAGGAACATCTGAGAGGGCGAGAGGGTAGATTCATCCGAATTACAGTAGGTTCCATATTTTTATCAAGCGCGCGCAGAGCGAGCGGTTCCATTTTCTTGTTCGAAAAACAGACTTGAAGATATACTTAGATAGACACTGTTAAATTTGAGGCTCGTGGTTTCAATTCTACTTAGACTTGTGTTTCTTCTTCCGCTTAGCCTTTAATATGACGCCTTTACATTGGCCCAGCAATAGGAATGAGAGCAGGAGATAGAAATGAGAGAGAGTGAGCAAATCTTCAGAGCTAAACTTCATACATATGCTCATCTTGAGATGTGCACCTTGTGCTTCAAAAGGCGGTGTGTGTGCTTACACAATTTTAGGTTAACTGTTCATTGCTATACTAGTTTTATTGTTTGAATAAAAATTTCCCGGGCCAGGGCCCACACGACTCGGAACAATACTGCATTAGGGAGGGGGAGGGCTCTCTTTTTGGCCTCAGTACGGGACTAGCTCTTAAGCAGCCTCGAAATTATCTCAATATCCGCTTTTTCGAAACGCCTCTCCTTCATGTTTTAAAGGGTGGAATTGTCCCCAGTCAAGACACGCGACCCATATTCCACAAGTATGACCACACGCGGACCTATTAACCATCACCAGCCACCAACGCTTATATCTCTATCGGATCGGAGCCACTATACGCCGAGAGAGGATTGTGTAGAAGATGACCCGCTGAGATTCAATATATCACCTTTGGTGGAGTACTATAGCCTCTCAGGAGGCATGAGTGATGAAAGAAGTGTCTTGTGGACTGTGGGTCCGAGGAGCTATGTGATTTTTATAGTATGATGAGACGCCAAGCCTCAGGTTGATTGGACAGCCCATTGTAGAGCCTCCTGGTATACAAGTAGAAAGCGAGTATGTTAAAGCACCTCTATCTCAAGAGATTGAAGGGACAGTCGCAATCCCCATTCACTCTAGGTTTATCAGACCCTGTGGAAATTATAGTGAAACGCTACACGAGGGGTCATATTCAACAAACGCTGGTCACGATATGGCTAATAACGGCCCTAGTTCTACGATTTGCTCTCTTTCCTTCCCAGAAGTGCATCTCGAGTACTTTTATCACCGCATTTAATCCATGTCAGGGACTTGTAACTTCTTTTGGTGGTTTTCTGTTGCTGCTTTAGTAGTCACTTGCACCCCAAACACCAGGTCCTACCCTGCAGCCTAATCAACTTTTCTTGCCTAGTTCCCGCATTACCCTATCGCTTCATGCTTCCTGGATTCTAAAAATCACAGCCACTGAACATGTTTACAGTTACGGAGGTCTAAGAGCTCCACAACCTGCTCATATTCACCAACCACTGCTACCTACCGCAGCACCATGGAGCCTAGCTCACTCCATCGCATATATAGACCTCTAGGTGCCCTCCTTTAGCAATAAACTCAGTTCCTCATCTCTGCGCTTACCAAAAGCTCCGCTAAGAGCTTCACAGAACGAGTTTAAAAGAAGGGTCACCTCCATCCTATCGATATATTTTCAACGTTTCCTCCGCCATGTCTACCTTAGAGCTTTTCCCATAGAATTTTGTAGTTAAGTGATAATCCAGACCAAGTAAGATCATCAGTACTCATTTCTAGTAAAGCGAATATTTCATCATGGCGTTCGGTAGCTTCGTGGCCCTGATACATGTCTATCAGCTCTGCCAATGGGCTGATTTGCAAGGTGGCCCGCCCTGACCACCATAACTTAGATCTAGGCCGAAGCATTGCTTGGCTTTTTAAGGAGACCGCGGAACGAATTAATGCGTGTGACTTTACGAAAACTTCGTCTGACAGGTTCAATTGTTTGAATCCTAAACAGAACGTGCATCCATCAATCTGCGCTGCACCACGCATGAGGATGTTTCGGGCGGCGACAACTTTCTGCAAAACCTAAATTAATAATATCACTGTTGTTAATTTTTTAAGTCCCAGTACGATGGACTAAATGGGCCAAAAACATGGCCTCTCAATTAGCCTAAGGACATTGTTGCAGAGTTCTGTGATCAATGAAGGGGGCTTCCGTAGACTTTTCTTAGCTACAATCCCCATTGCTTTCAGAATATCATTGCGATGATACTCTGTGTCCCGAAGCTTCAGTGGGATTTTCTTAGGCGCAAGGCTGGCATCTCTGAGAACACCATTGCAGAGTTCCCTTGTCAGTAGAGGCGTCGCGAGTCCAGTCCGAGCCACATCGCCGATTGCTCCAAGCACTAGATCACTCCCCTCTGCGCTCTCACCTAACTAAACCATTACAGATTTTGCCATAACGTAGATCCTCGCCATGTGTCCAACCTGGTTCTCTCGCTCTTTCAAGTCCTCTTGGTTTATACAAATCGCATCTATCCAGACAATTCGTTCTAGGTGCCGATTTCTAAGGCAAGACAATGCTCCATGAAGATTTTTTGTGACCTGAAAGATACAGGTGTCCAAGTAAATTGATAACTCTTGTGAGGATTTCCCCATGCGTAAGATAAAGTGTTTGCAGTTACGGAGCTCTCCATGCGCTAGCCACCTACACTCCTTTGGCCTACTGCTGCCTAGCCACGCCACCTGCTGCAGCCTAGAGCTATTGGTGGCCTTAAGTCACATGATGGGTTCATCTAG